AGGATCAGACGGGAGGAACAAGTAGAGTAATCAGAAGGGTCAAACGTTCTCAAGTGTGAAATGGGAGAGACAAATGAAGTGATCACTTCGCTTGTCTCTCCCGTTTGACCCTCTTGACCCCTCCGCATTTCTCTCCCATTTGACCCTTCACACTATCTGATCTGTAAACACTCTTCCCTGATCATTAAAATTCGACGTTTTCAGAAGAGCGTGGGTCAAAGTAGAACGATATGAAAAAAATAATGTGGGGCAAAATTCAAATACCTTTTTTTCATCTCTATTACAAAAAAAAATTATGAAGGGTCAAATTTTGTTTAGGGTTAAGCAGTCTTAAGGGTCAAATGGGAGAGACAGGTGAAGGGTCAAATTTTCTTCAGGATCAGACGGGAGGAACAAGTAGAGTAATCAGAAGGGTCAAACGTTCTCAAGTGTGAAATGGGAGAGACAAATGAAGCGATCACTTCGCTTGTCTCTCCCGTTTGACCCTCTTGACCCCTCCGCATGTCTCTCCCATTTGACCCTCAATACTATCTGATCTGTAAACACTCTTCCCTGATCAGTAAAATTCGTCGTTTTCAGAAGAGCGTGGGTCAAAGTAGAACGATATGAAAAAAATAATGTGGGGCAAAATTCAAATACCTTTTTTTCATCTCTATTACAAAAAAAAATTATGAAGGGTCAAATTTTGTTTAGGGTTAAGCAGTCTTAAGGGTCAAATGGGAGAGACAGGTGAAGGGTCAAATTTTCTTCAGGATCAGACGGGAGGAACAAGTAGAGTAATCAGAAGGGTCAAACGTTCTCAAGTGTGAAATGGGAGAGACAAATGAAGCGATCACTTCGCTTGTCTCTCCCGTTTGACCCTCTTGACCCCTCCGCATTTCTCTCCCATTTGACCCTTCACACTATCTGATCTGTAAACACTCTTCCCTGATCATTAAAATTCGACGTTTTCAGAAGAGCGTGGGTCAAAGTAGAACGATATGAAAAAAATAATGTGGGGCAAAATTCAAATACCTTTTTTTCATCTCTATTACAAAAAAAAATTATGAAGGGTCAAATTTTGTTTAGGGTTAAGCAGTCTTAAGGGTCAAATGGGAGAGACAGGTGAAGGGTCATATTGTTTTAAGGGTCAAACGAGAGAGACGAGCCGAGTTATCAGAAGGGTCAAACGTTGTTAAGAGTCTAAAGGGAGAGACGAGTGGAGTGATCACTTCGCTGGCCTCTCCCGTTTGACCCTCTTGACCCCTCCGCTTGTCTCTCCCATTTAAAATCCAAGAAAATGTGATTCTTCTAATGACTTCGTTGGTCTCTCCAGTTTGACCCTTAAACAACGAAATTCGATACTGTTCCATTTTGCCCCACCCCCTCCCCCTATTTATCTTTCATTGTTCATTCGCGTGATATTCACCTCTCCAGGAACTTTCTGAATGGTTCTCCTCTCAAATGATTGAAAATCTCCTCGATGTAAGGCTGCAATTGGAGAACATTAGTTATTACTTTGACGTTTCTGCAATTGCTTTATGAATTTTAAAACACTTACCTCGAATAAATTCACCGGCACCTCGTTCTTCATGAGATATTTGTGTACGTGAGCGACAGCTTCACTGGAATATTCCTGCAGCAATAATGAAACGAAAAGGCGAGCATTATCAAAGGTTCGTCCTAGTCATCCGAGTTAAGTGGAAGAAAACGAAATTTAGGGGTAATGAAATATTTACGTGCGAATGCGCCAGAAGTTCCTTCATTATGTAGTTGTCGTATATCTCACGTGCCAATTTTCGCCTCTCGTCGGGGCACTCGAGTTTTTCGTATGATTTTATCTGTTTACAATTGAAATAAATTATTTTATCGGCGATCAGTTTCTTACATTGAAGCGATGAATGATGTAGATATGGAGTAAAGAGTTTGAATCAGTAATTTTGGAGGGTCAATATATGATCTTATGGGTCGAGCAATAATTTCGTCGTGGATAGTAGATTTTTCCCTCACTAAGGGAGAAGTATTTGTGCAGAGAAATGATTTCTTTCGTATTAAAAAGGATTGATTTCGATTCCTTCTTATGACAATGAGACATCGCTCATTGTTTCAAGTTCAACAAAATGTTGAGTCCCGTCAGAAATAGTACATTCAGTCGAAAAGTTCATCCCCCAAAATACACGGAGAGAAATTTTCTTGAAAAATTCTAGTATGACTACTGAAAAAAATCACAATCCACTGGTTGTGAAAAATTCTAGTGCTGTTAAGGTAAAATTTCTCAGAATTTCTGCTACAATTTCTGGGGATTTCTGTGAAATTTTCACAGAAATACGGGAAAAAATTTACGTTTTCCCAAATGAAATTTCCAGTGCCAGCACTGAAATTTTTCCATGGTTGCGCCTCTTTTACCGCGCTAGCACTAGAATTTTTCTAAAAAAAAATTCACTCCGTGCATGTTCATCTTGTGTTGAAACAATGTATTCTCAATTTGAATTGTCCCCATATCAACATCAAGTTTTCAACTCCAGTTAATCGTACTTCCCACTCGTCTCAATAAGTTTATTAATTATACCAGTAGTACTTGCGACAAGAAAATTACCGCCTTTTCGACATTACTTCTTCGTTCGAATGTAATATTTCTAACGACGAGAAAAATTTCATTGAATTTGAGAGGATGAATTATGCAGACATGAAGTAAAGAGTTTGAAGCAGCAATTTTGGATAGTGAATACATGATTTCATGGGTCGAACAATAATTTGGTCGCGGAGAAGGGAGAATTACCATCAAAGTATTTAGACCGAGAAATTATTTCTTTTATATTGAAAAGGATTGATTTCAATGCCTTCTTATCTATCGACATCGCTCATTGTTTCAAGCTCAACAAAATGTTGTTTCCCGTCAGAAATAGTACATGCAGTCCATGAATTCATCTCCCAAAATATGTTCATCTCGTGTCGAAACAAAGTATTCTCAATTTGAATTGTCCCCATATCAAATCAAGTTTTCAACTCCAGTTAATCGTACTTCTCACTCGTCTCAATAAGTTTATTAATTATACCAGTAGTACTTGCGACAAGAAAATTACCGCCTGTTCGACATTACTTCTTCGTTCGAATGTAATATTTCTGACGACGAGAAAAATTTCATTGAATTTGAGAGGACGAATTATGCAGACATGAAGTAAAGAGTTTGAAGCAGCAATTTTGCATCGTAAATACATAATTCATTTTATATTGAAAGAGATTGCTCTCAATTTCCCCTTATTTATCGACATCGTTCATTATTTCAAGCTCAAAAAAAATGTTATTTCCCGTCAGAGATAGTGTTCATCAATCCAATCGGAAAGTGATGGAGAAGAATACACAAATCAATGAATAAATAAAACAAATTTACCTCCTCGTAAAACCTAAGTTGCGGAATTGGTTCCTCCGCCACAGTCTCACAAAAGTCTTTGAACAATAGATACCCTAGCATTTGATTAAATATTTTATCAAAGTTGACTTCGTTCTTCTTCTCCAGATACTTGTGCATGACGCTCCTGACACTGAAACACACAAAACATCGGAATTAAAACATGAATAAGATTCTCACACTGTGGATCATCTTGAACAGAATTAAACTGTGCCATTTGAAAACAGAAACGTCTGATAAACCCCGAGGGCTTGACGTCACAACGACGCACTTCGATAAGGACTTGTCCGACTTTGAATTCAATACGCAATTTGCCTGGTTCAGTCTCCGAGCGATTCGAGAGGAAACCCTGGTAAAATAGTCCGATTATTTCCGACCGGGTGATAAAAAATAAATCGGCATTAATGATGTTTCTGTCTGCGCCCGTTAAATTCCGATTGGCTGGTAGGTACACGTATGATAAAATCGTATAGAATTTCTATAGGATTTTCGTATATGATATTCGGATATTTCTATACGGATATTTTTTATACTAATTATTTCTATACCATTTCTATAGGTTTGATCCTATACGGTCCACTGCCACATGTATAGAAACATTTCTTATGAAGTTGCGACACTTCTCTACGTTTTTCTCTGGAGCGTTTAGACATCTTTCGTATGGAAACAAAAATTTACGTACAAATTTATGGATAGAAATAATTCGTATAGAAATATCCGAATATCATATACGGAAATTCTATAAAAATTTTATACGCAATCTGCATAGAAAATTTCTATACGATTTTTTTATACGTGTAGAGTTTGGGGTTTGAGAAAATTATGAGAATTAATGGGAACAAGAATATGTGGCCGTTATCGTCCGATTACTTTCCAAAAAAGTGGTTGATAGATCTCATATTACTCATATAAATATTTAAATGAGCAATAAATATTAAAGATTTATACGAGCAATATGAGATCTATCAACCACTTTTTTTTTAAGTAATCGGAAGATGACGGCCACATACCCCTGTTCCCGTTAATTCTCATAATTTTCTCAAACTCCAAATTCTACCTACCAGCCAATCGGAATTTACCGGTCAAAGACAGAAACATCATTAACGCCGATTCATTTTTTATCACCCAGTCGGAAATAATCAAAAAATGTCATGTGATATTTTTTGTTAACATGAATCATTATCGATATAATTTGCTCTTTAACCCTAGTCTGGTCACCAAACGGGAGAGATGAATACAGTGATCAGAAGAATCAAACTTTCTCAAGGGTCAAGTGGGAGAGACAGGCGAAGGCCTCAAGAAGAGAATGGGAGAGACGAGCGATGTGATCACCCCCTTCGTCTCTCCCATTAGACCCTTAAAAATGTTTGACCCTTCTGATTACTCGGCTCCTCTCCCGTTCAACCCTTAAGTAGATTTGATCCTCCACCTGTCTCTCCCCTTTGACCCTTCATCGTTTTTTTTCTATAAACAGAAATGAGAAGAAAAAGTTATCTAAATTTTGCTCTACATTCTTTTTCGCTACAGTTCCACTTTGCCCCCCCCCCCCTCTCTCCCCCACCGCTATAATCCAATATCGAACAAGACGTAAATTGCGGAAAAAAAAATGAATAAAAATCCCCTGAGGCTTGAAAAAAATTCCCTTTAATCTCAAACATCGAAACATTAAAAATCGGGAACATAACCGGAGGGGAAAGCCTCCTGCATCTACTTTTAGACGTGTGAAAAATTGAAAGAAAAGACCAACACGGGATAGCGAAGCTCAAACCGACCATTATTAAACCTGAGAATTATTTATAATAGTTGAAGCGTCCACGGGAAAATAATAACAATGGGAAAAAACGAGAGACAGCGGCATTATAAAAAAAAATTGTCACATTCTTGTATCAAGGACGCGTGAAACGTCAATTCAGCCGGAAGGAGTTGGCTTTGAAAGCGTCGGCTGTCGATGATAAGCCCATTCTTCATCATGCTAGACTTGGGATATAAGCGAGAGCAAGAGGGAATCGGTTGGATTATCGTATTCTCCAATGTGTGGACGATGCTTCTGCCCGCCTCTTTTTACACGAGTAAAATAACGTGCAACGTTTCAGCTTATGGATTATTAATAGGGTGTGTGTACGTACTAACGCTCTATCAGAGCGTTTGTTTTCCCGAGAGCTTCTTCTGGTTTTTTTTTCACGCTCTACCTTTATTTCATTATTTTTTCATGAGGTGGAAGGAATGCAGGAATTGTTTGGAATTCGAATTAGATTGTTTGTAGTGGTTTTTTGAAGGGGGGGGGGGGAGGTGAGGTATTTTGGGAGTTAGAGGAGGTCGAATGATTTTTTGAGGTGCTGGTTGATATTGGATTACATTGGCGAGGGTGGGTTTAAGGGGACTTTCACTTGGTCCTTCTTTCAGACGCCCTTGAGAATCGTTCGAGCCTGAAGGGCGTTTGACCCTTAACATTGAACGTCCTTAAGGGCCATTTGATCCCTCAAAATCATCTAACCTTCGACTCCTCACGTCCTGAGGATGTTGCAGCATCATTGTAGAGACCATCTAAGAAGATTTGACCCTTAAAACCATTTAACCCTCAATCTTAAACGTCCTTAAGGGTTATCTGACCCTCAAAACCATTTAACCCTCAACTTTAAACGTTCTCAAGGGTCGTCTGACTCTCAAAACCAATTAACCTTCAACACCTTCAACGTCTTTAGAGGACATTATAAGAAGGTCGTATTATAATCCTTTTAGGAAACGTTGACCCTTAAAACCATCCTAAGGGTCGTTTGACCATCAAAACCATTCAACCACTAACTAGAAACGCCTTTCAGGAACGTTTCAAAGTTCTTTTACGAACATTTGACCTTTGAAAGCGTTCTGAAGGGTCATTTGACTCTAAACAACATTTGACCTTAAATTTTAAACATCCTCACGGGACTTTTGACCCTCAAGACCATTGGACTCTCATCCCTAAACGTTCTTAAAGGTCATTTAACATTCAAAACCAATTAACCCGTAACCCTAAACGTCCTTAAAGGTTATTTGATCCTCGAAACTTTTCATTTTTCAATTCTAAACGTGCTCAAGGGCCATTTGACCCTTAAAACCATTTGATCCACAACCCTGAACTTTCTTAATTATCAATTGACCTTCCAGACCATTTAACCCCCAACTCCGAGCGTTGTCAAGGGTTATTCAATCCTGAAAACCATGTGACGCGTAAGTCCGAATATTTTTAAGGGTATTTAACCCTCGAAACACTTTGACTCTCAACTAAAAAAGTATCCGAACTGATACTCTTCTTTAATCATTTCTTACAGAGAAGTTTCTCATGAACAAAAAAATCCTCTTACATTTTCCCTGAAACCCACCCATTACCGAGATAAATAAACTATAACAAAAAAGAGTCGTAAGACCTCAGCAAATGGTTTTCCGCAATTGAATGGCTTCATCATTTTATTATTAATACGTGGGATGATTAAAATAAATGATCGCGTGATACGGACTTCGATGACGGACAAGAGGAATTGAAAAAGCAATATGAAGATATAACGCAAGTGTGTTGGATGTTATAGTTATGTTCGTCGAGGCGATGTGACGTCTTTTGGCATTTTTCATCTTTCTCAACGGCAGACTGAGGCGATGTTCCACTGTTAGGTGTGCGTCTCTCTAGTATTGTAGCTGTTGATGAGTCACATTTGCGCGCTCCAGAAACTGAAGTAACTCGGCAGGGCTACCCGACCGAGACGACGTCGGAGAAACCATTCAGAAGTTAAATGACGAGACAAAACTGGTCGATTTCTCTCATTTTTTTTCTATTGAATTATCTTGGCGATGAGTGGTTTTAGAGGAAAATGTCAAAAGACATTGGAGTAATAAAATGAAAGAACAGAAAAAAGCCTACTTCACACAATTCGGGAATATTTTTTTTGCCTTTAGTTGAGGGTCAAATTGTTTTAGGGATTAAACGACCCCTGAGAACGTGTCGAGTTGAGAGTCAAACGACCCTTAAGAACCCTTAAAGACGTTGAGGGCTTCAGATGGTTGCGAAGGTCGATTAATCCTTAAAGATGTATGAAGTTGAGGATCAAATGGCCTTAAGGGTCAACAACTCTCAAGGACGTTTAGGGTTAAAGTTAGAGGGTTTTCAGGATTCGACGATTTTTAAGGACGTTAAGGGTTGAGGTTCAAATGGTCCTAGGGGTCGAACAACCCATGTGAACGTTCGATGTTGCGGTGTCAAAGGGTCAAACGACCCGTAAGGACGTTCAGGGTGACGCGGTTTTAATGCCGCTCATCTGCAAAACTGGTTTTGGGTTTGAAAGTCAAGAAAACCCTTAAATACGTTTCGAGTTGAGGGTCAAAATGGTGTTAAGGGTCAAACAACCCTTAGGAACTTCAGGGTTGAGGGTCAAATGGTTTTGACGGTCAAATGACCATTGAGGACGTTAAAAAATGAGGGCCAAATAACCCTTAAGGATGTTGAGGGTCAAACGGGTTAGAGCAGAGTGATCATAAAGGATCATTTGACTACCAACTCCGGACGTTGTCTCTGATACAAGTAATTTTTGCAGAAAATGACAAAATTTCCAGTAACAAATTTCCTTTGAAATTTCCCTCTAAAATCTGTCATTAACCAAATCATTGAATATCAAACGAAACATGAGGAATAACTTATTCTTTTTACTTTCCACGATTTCCCTACTGAATCATTTCAAGAATTGTAAGATGAAGAGAAGCGGTCGGAGGAGGGTTTACAATTTCATCTGCAGGTCAAGAGGAAAAATCCCCACCTGCAAACCCATTCTTCATCTCCCCAATTTTTTGAGACACGAATCTCCCGGAGCTTCGTCCGAGTTGAAAAAAAAAACTCGTTAGATATGTCGAGAAGTTCAGGAGATAAATGGGTTCTCGGTGCATCATCTGAAATCGGAAATTGCCCTCGGTGTCCAATGAGAACACCTTTCCACCCCCTTTCATCGATCCATCCCATCCACGGTATATTCAAAGGAATAATAAATAAATCGATTATGCAAACTTTGGCTCGATGAAAATTCAGTGAAATGACATTGGCCCTTCCCTTACGAAAATCATATTGAATGAGTAGATTGAGCGTCACTACAGTGTCCCAGAGTGAGCGTTGTG